CATTTTTGCCAAATAAATTATTTGATTTGATTTGATAAATTATAGGCCGTTTAGGCTCGACAAGTGTCCACACACACAAGCGTGTAAACGGGTTATTTGGTTCGGCTCGCGTATGCTCATCGTCGATCGGTACCCGGCAATCTCGTGCGCGACCGTCCCGCGGGGTGACAGACAGTAGCGGGGTCGAGGTAGCGCGTCATTCTAGCACACGGCTACACACGAAGAGAAGTGTTTCCCTTCCCCGCTACACCACCCGCTACCCGCCGACATCTTGAGTACCTCGTCCCCGCCACCGTCTGTCACCCCGCGGGACGGTCGCGCACGACGTTGCTGGACTATAGTGTCGGTTTTTGAACACAGATCGCTACGTATTTACACGTTGGCGCGTGCTTGTTTCCTACTGCTCAATTTGATAGTAGTTGAGAAGTCGGGAATCAACATTTATTTTTATTTTTACTTAATTGGTACAGTTACAGGCCATGCCTCACACAGTAATAAGTAACAGCGTATAATTTCAAATCTGAAGTCCAGTTAAAACTATACACATCATTCACAATCGCGGTGATAGAGCTTCAATTAGGTGTTAAACAAACTCAAAAAAAGAACAAAAAAGATTATTAAATAAGAAAATGAGATGCAGCAAATTGACTAATTAGTTATATCTACAAATGTGTTACTATAATTACATCTCAATGCCCTACTGATTAAGCAGTTTGGTAGAGTAGGGCTAGAGAATAATGGTTTTTGATTAGTGCCGCCGTTTATATTTTGAATAAAAATATGCTGCTACGTTTACTTGTCCGGAACACAAAAGCACACTTGCAAGCGTGTAAATGACATCCAAACGTTTTTATAGACTTGGAACTCGTAGACGTTTGCCAAGCCTTACATATTCCAATATGTCTCTAGTTATCAGCAGCGAACCTACGATAAATATATAATCGTGAGCAACGGATTCGGGCCACATCAAAATAAACCTACCACCACCGATGGATGACTACATTATCAGCGAGTAAAAAAGACTAATTTTTACCGCGATCGTCGACATACACGGTAAAAAGTAGCCTATGTTACTCGGTGATAATATAGCTTTCCATTGGTTAAAGCATTCTTAAAATCGGTTTAGGGATTTAGGCGTGAAAGTATAACAAACCCACTTTCAGACTTATAATATAAGTATGGAAGTAATTTTGCTAATAATAGTAATAATTTAATACTATAATATGTTTTATTTAAGTAACTTATTAATGTCAGCATCCGCTGGTATTGCTCTGAAAAAGTCAGCATCCGCTAATACAGTAAAAACCTGAATCAGCAACAGCCCATTCGAATCCACAACAATCAGCGCAGTAGGAAGCGGCGTTGCGACCGCTCAAACCACTACGCCATCCGTGATGTCTATTAGCTCTGAAGGCCAATTCTCGTAATAAAAGTTCGATTACAATTCAGTTCCGATCAACTTTCGATCTCACAACTATCATAAAAGATATTTTCGTAGTTATACTTATGTATACTTATATATTTTTTTGTAAATACATACTTATTACCCATAGAAACACCCAGATCACATCAAACATTAAATGTACATGCACACAAATGTTTGACTTGAGCGGGAATCGAACCCGCGACCTTTGGAATAGTAGTCCGTTACACAAACCACTACGCGATCCGATCGTCAAGATATATATGAAAACAAGTTTGAAATTAACTATGATTGTCAAATAATAAGTTTCATATTCTTTGTCCTATCTTAAGACAAATAATGTCACATTGAAAAATTACGCAAAAAGCTTTAGAGTTAGTATTTTTCTCATGTCAAAATATCAAATAATAGAAATTGCTGTTTCCATACATAGGGATAAGTTAACAAAAATAGTTATTCGTTTGATATTAGAGTACCGTATCCAACGCCATGTCGGGGCCACTAAGCACACAAGATTTTGGAGCCTTGTTGGAAAGTAAAACAAAGTGAATGACTAAAATATGTTTCAGCTCAAAATCATATTTACCCATGGCATTAATTAAATAAATATGCTGATGGTTTGAATCAGTAACGATTATGACAGTAATTTCATTCTTTTTCATTTGATTTCTGTTGTGCAAAACCTTCTATTATGTTCAAATCCATTTTTTTAAAGCAAATAATGAACAGATAACAAATTAGTTAATCGCTTCTGTAACATCTCATCACATCATGATCAACAGCCTATAACAGTCCACTGCTGGACATAGGCCTCTCCTTAGAAAGGAGGTTTTGGCCTACTATACTACGCTGGCCAGACGGGTTGGTATAGGGTTTGTGTCAAGTTTTCCTTCTCTTCGCAGTGCTGTTGTCCTGCGTAGTTTGCTCCCTTAGTCGGCTCTTACGACACCCACAGGATGTATAGGTGGTGGTGACATTCCGTATTCTAATTCCTTCACCACACGTCTGTAATATAGTTGTTCGAAATTCATTTTTTAATCTCTTTAGCTGTGAAAATGAACGCTCTCCACTACAATTGGTAACCATTAAGCCCATTATCGCTTAGAGCAATTTCTTCTAGGCAACCTTTGGATGAACTCGTTTGCCTATTTTCCATAAGAAAACAATTCATCTTAAACTGGTGGTAGGTAATACAAGTTCAAGCAATAAATAAGGTAGGCTATGAAATATATCTATTTATCATACATAAATTTTACTAATCCATACATACATTAAAATACTATACGTACTACAATACATACACATACATAATCCTTCCATACTTAATAATAATAATAAAAATATTCTACCACATTCACACAAAGCCAGCTACGAGTAGTCCCAAACTAAGCAGAGCTTGTACTATAGGTACTAGACAACTGATATAAATACATATATACTTTTTTTTTGTAAATATATACTTATTATACATAGAACAGTTATTATACATAACACCCAGATCAAATCAAACATTAAATGTTCATGCACACAATTTTTTTACTTGAGCGGGAATCAAACCCGCGACCTTTGAAATAGCAGTCCGTTACACAAACCACTACGCCATTCGTACATACATACTACAAGTTTCTTCTAATTTATCAGACTTTATTAGGTTTTGGTAGTTTGAGATACTCCAATCCGCTGATTCCTTTAATAAGTTCTTTAAATACCGTCTTAAATGAAAACATTCTGATTTGATCTCTTATGCATTATGTCTTCGGAATACAGAATGTTGTTATTGAGAAAAATTAAAATGCTGCACATTTTAAAATTGTTTTATTGGAGGGATAAACGTAACGTCAACAGTACAGTAATTGAATAATCCTTCAAAAAGTGATACGTGTCCTGCGAATTTTTTTGGATTTTTTTCTTTAGCAATTATTGCATACGTTATTGATATCAATCGATTATATTTTTGTTGCAACGTCCATGGTTAGAGTTATTTTGTAAGCAAACTTGTTTATATTTCCTAAAAATGTATTGGCTTTCGGGGGCCCCGTGACGATAGGCCCCGTGTGCCCTTATGGTAAAGGCTGTCACATACTACATTCACAGTGTCCCTTTTATCTAAGTTAAGTGAAACGTCACTATTCAGGTGTTTCCCTAACTGCGCAATCAAGCGAGGTTGTATGATAATTTGAATTGATAGTTTGAAACCATACCGACCATGGCGAAACGAAAATATTAATAATATCGAAGACGTTTGGCCACGGCTAGTGCAATTCGGTCGGAACTTCAGGCAAATCAAAAGTATGTACTCAATACTTACCTAGGTATATCAAGCGCGTTAATTGCCTTAAACGTGTTATACATATGTATAATATGTTTATGTATTATTATTATGTCAAAAGTGTCTTAATTTTTGAAAACTTTACTCTAATATTTTTTTATGTTAGAGGGGGCAGACGAGCCACCTGATGGAAGTGACCATCGCCGCCCATGAGCGTCTGCAACTCAGGAGTCACAAACGCGTTGCCGGCCTTTTAGAAAGGAGTTAAATAACATAACAAAGTTTATTAAAATGTTTGTATAATATGCAAATATTTGTTTTGGAGTTTAGGTGTTTTCTAAGTAGTCTAAGTAGTGTAGTAGTGTAGTAGTAAGTAGTGTAGTCTAAGTATAATATGTAAGTATTTACAAAAAATATAAGTATATAAGTATTCTATCAGTCAATCTAACAGTACAAGCTCTGCTTAGTGTGAAACTAGATGGCGTTGTGTGTCTGTTGTCTATTTATTTATTAATCAATACCTGCTAGATGTCGTCTGGCTGGCGATCGAATTTTCATCGTTTTGACTGTATTGTTTTTTTATTCACGAATATAACTTCACCAGCAACCAATTTTCAAAACATAATGATGGCAATACTTTTCAGAAATGACGTTTCGTTTCGTTTGTTCAAGTTTGTTGTCTTGTCAAAGAATTTTGGTTTGTGTTAGGTCTGTACACTATCAATCGGCTAAACCAAATTAAACAATAAAATTGTGCAATATAGGCGGTTCACTAACACTGCTTTTTATCAAATAGAAGGAGTTTTACATTCATATATCAATAGGTATGGGACGAAAATTCTCTGTGACGTTTTTCAAACATAAAAACATTACATAAAACTACATTACAACAAGGATACATTATAACTATTGGCTTTTCGTCGTATAGAAGCTCATACAGCGACATCAGTCGACAAAATAACTATTAGCCATTTTAAACGGTCGAAATTGGATGTCCTGGCAGTCTCTGGTTGTAAGACAGCTCTACCATCACCAGGTTAAATTCTATCTTCTCATAGAGGTCCTATTATCTTGTGTTGTTAAAGATTTTCTTGTCACATTAACATAAAACGCCTCAAAAGACCCTTAGTATTATTAGTTACTGAAATGTTGCTAAAAAATTAAAAGGAGTTTCCACTTTATATAATTTACCCATAATATTAATAAAGTAATGTCTTATATTTCTTTTGCTCTGTTGTAAGCATGAAAAATTCAGTAAATAGGTGAGTATCTGATACCCACAAGGAGCTAAGGTAGCGAAGTCACAAGATGGAAGGAGGTGCTCAAATGGGTAAGAGTGAGGACAGATACAAAGTGATGCACTGGAGGATGCCTATACTGCAAGGCACACAGAGTGGGGGGGATATTGAAAAGGCTCAGAATAATAAGGCTTTGTGACAGATTAAGAATATGGAGTGTCATAACAGCACTGTAAAGAGAAGGAATACTTGATACTAACCCTATAGCAACCTATCTGACCAGCGTGGTATAGTAGGCCAAAACCTTTCTAAGGAGAGGCCTAGATCCAGCAGTAGTCTGTTAGAAGCCTCTAACAGACTACTGCTGGATCTAGGCATCATCATCATCATCAACAGCCGTTGATGATGATGATGCAACTAAAGTAAACCAAATTACAATGATAGATATCTCAGAGAGTCGTCTAGATCCAAAGAAAAATAGATCAAATGGTCAAACAAAACTAATATTGGATATTCAGCCTAGAATCAGGCCTAGGTTTCTGCCTTGAATTGCTGCCTGCCTGAACTAAGGCAACATGTGTTTGAGGCGACCTCTTGACTTAGTTTTTTTTTTAAATCAGTATTTAAATATTATTGTTAAATAAAAATAACAGATTAATAGAGAAGATAAAAAGACTACATAGTGTACACATAAAAAAGCAACCCCAAAAAAATAATATTTTACAACAATTATTCCAGTCTAACTTAACAATTTTTTGACATATTTTATGTCTGCATAATTAAATTTAATTAAATAAAAAAAAAATCACAACCACACACAATGCTAAAATAATTATTAGACAGGATTTAGCCTTTCCAGAAAATGCTGTTTCACTGTTATCTATCTCTGTGCCAAATTCTGTCCAAATCTGTTCAGCCATTCTGGAGTCAATGAGAAAACATCATCACCACAAACTTTGGTGTTAACAAGGGTGTCGCCAAGGGGGGGCAGGGAGGGGCAGCTGCCCCCCCCTAGAGATTCTAAAAAAGTTGCCAAATATAATGCAACCAAAGTCCTAAGTCTTTGAGTTAATTTGCTTGAAGTTCAAGCCTTGAACAATCATTCCCGTACGTCGAAACTCGAATGAATTCACCAATTCCACTCCTAATCGTTGAAGCGGGAGAGGGGGAGTGGGGAAGCAACATGTAACCGCGCGGCGCTCGCGCCCTCCGCACAGCCGCCTTTGTTTTAGCGTCTGTCTGTCATTTATTCGTGCGTTAGCGTTGCCACTGCCCGCTTTTACGTTTGTTTTGTGCGTTATTATCACATCTAAATAGTTGCTGTGACCACATAATCAATATGGATATCAGAAAGTTTTTTGGTGAGTATCACTTGCGTTTAGCTTTCGTATTTTCCGTCCGCAAAATAACGTCAATTGATTCGATTATAAATGCTGATTTTGCATCGGTTTTAAAAATCGCAAAAAATCCGTTTCTAGGCACGATATCCGATTCTTAAGGGTCGTCAGTTTAAACCATAAGGAAAATTGCTCAATTTAATGGCTCAATCGAAAATAGGACCGTATTAGTAGAAAATTGTATGAATGAATATCGGCAGTGCCGATTCGGCACAGTCGGCTCGCGTATGCTTGAGACTCCGGCGCGTGGGTGTCGTCGCGCCCGCTCTAGAGTGCTCGAGCGAGGATGCCCGAGACCGCGCGAGCATAGCCGCGGCGGTTAAACCTTGCGCGGGCTCGAGCCTGCCGCTGTCTTGAAGCGCATTTATGCTTTCAATGTGAATTGCGGACCAGAAGAAGTTGTAGCTATTTCAAATATTTTGTTTTGCAGTTTTAAAAAGAAAGAAACCTGAAGGAGCAAGCAGTGACAGCGATGATTCCGTGGGTGGCCTGAAGAGACCTAGCACATCCAAAGAACCGGACTTAGTTCCCGACTCTTCGATAAATGACTGCAACGAAAATGACATCGGTAAATTTATTGGACAAGCATCAATGTTATCGACTGAAATGAAGAAAGAATTGCTTGACAACACTTGGTCTCCGTCTGCGACGTATGACTTTGCAGAAGACGCTAACCATTTAAAGAGGAAATTCAAGTATTCATGGTTGGAAACGTACTCTCCATGGTTGGCCTATTCCAGGCACCAAAAAGGAGCCTTTTGTAAATATTGTACGTTGTTCCCTCCAAATCCAAATTCTTTTAGAGGCGTATTAGGGTCATTTATCATAAGGCCGTTTTGTAAGTTCAAAGATATTCACGAGCATTGCAAAAAGCACATGGAAACCCACTTCCATAAGATGGCACTGGAAGCCGCTAAATCATTTCTTGGAAGTGTGCCTGTAGATTTACAACTCGACAAATACTCCCAGGGCATTATTAAAGAAAACCGAAAAATTATAACATCTATTATTTCCTGCATTACGTTTTGCGGGTCGCACGACTTAGCTCTGAGAGGAAAACATTATGGCGAAGGTATTCTCGAGGACTTATACAAGCTACGAATTGACGCGGGAGATTTAGTTTTGAAGAAACACATTGAGCATGGGAAAAAGAATGCAAGCTATCGATCGATTGATATTCAAAATGAAATTATCGCAATTTGTGGAGATGTTATTAAGGCAGACATTGTGAAAAAAGTAAAAGAAGCAGAAGCTTATAGTGTATTAGCAGACGAAACAGCTGATATTTCCGGTACTGAACAATTATCGATTGGGCTGCGATATTTGACGAGGAAGCCAACGAGGTCCAAGAAATGTTCGTCGGATTTGTTGAGCTGAAAGGTCTGGATGCGAAATCTATTGCATATTTCATCGATGAGTTTATGACAAAAGAAGACCTTAATCCTGCTGATAAATGCGTTGGTTTTGGATTTGACGGTTGTTCGACGATGTCCGGAAAAGACGGTGGAGTACAAGCGATCCTGCGCAAAAAATATACCAAAGCATTGTTCTTTCATTGCTCGTCCCATAAACTGAATCTGGTAATAAATGATCTCAATATTCTTCCTGAAATTCGAAACACCATGAGAACCACTAAAATATATTAATAATTTTTTTCGGGAATCTGTTTTAAGAAGAAAATTGGTACCTAATATTGCCAGGCTCTGCGAAACAAGATGGAGTGAGAAACATAAAACTATCAGAGTATTTAAGGAGAATTTTCCTGTTATATTGGAAGCCTTAGAAAACTTATCGCGTGAAGGAAACAGTGCGACTCGAAAAAACGCCTTTCAACTCCATGCGGCTGCTTTCAAAATTTCGTTTATACTTTGTATTACTTTGATAGCTAAGCCAGCTTTTTAGCAGCCTCAATAGACTAAAAACCTGGCTAAGAAGCACTATGAGTGAAAATCGCCTCAATGGTTTGGCCATGATGAGTGTGCAAACTTATACATGGAAACTTACAAGATTTTAATAATAAAGTGGTCGAGAAGTTTACAATGAATCTCCGAAAATTATGTTTAATTATTAACCTAATATAAACAAGCAACGACCACTATAATATTAAAATTTGGTAATTTAACAAAAAAATGCTGTACGCTGTACACTTATTCAAATTCAAACTCCTTTTTATTCTATTTTTCTAATAAATGTTATTATAACTTATTTACAAGTTTTTTATTGCATAGTCAAGAGCTCGTGCTCGTGTAGCTTCACACATTGGACTCTGTACTGTCAAAGAATATATACGTATATAGTACTAAGATACCGTTGTTATTACAATCGCTGTAGATGTAAGGCTCGTAGTACAAGTGAAAAGCTTCATGTGCTGTCGACTTTACCTACAATTCATACCTACTTTTCTCATTCATAGAGAATGAGAAAAGTATGAATTGTAGTAGGTAAAGTCAACTTGCCCCCCCTGCGCCGCGACGCGACGCCCTTGGGTGTTAATAATATTTATGGGATATTTTACATAGATAAGACTATACCACTCAAAATGGTTCTCTCTTGTATACTTACAGCTACAGTTGTCACCATAACTTTAACTAAGTTACCATGATAATACATAAATGTGCTATGCATACAGCTTGTGAAAATACAAGACAGTTGTCATAATAAAGTTATGTATTTCAATAATAATTTCGACTGGATGGCGTAGTGATTTGTGTAACGGACTGCTATTCCAAAGGTCGCGGGTTCGATTCCCGCTCAAGTCAAACATTTGTGTGCATGAACATTTGATGTTTGATTTGGTCTGGGTGTTTCTATGTATAATATGTATGTATTTACAAAAAAAAAAAGTATATATGTATTTATATCAGTTGTCTAGTACCCATAGTACAAGCTCTGCTTAGTTTGGGACTAGCTGGCGTTGTGTGTATGTGGGAGAATATTATTATATTATTATTATTATTAACAGTTACTGTGACATAGATATATAGATAGATAAATACTTTATTTGTACACCAGGGTTTTACAGACATTATAAAGTAATTAACAACAGGTGTAATGTACAAAGGGAGGCCTTATCGCTTAGTTTAATTTCTTCCAGGCAACCTTTGGATGGACTGGATTCATTTTGTGATAGGTATACAGATATTATAGAGTAATAAATAAGGTCTTAACCTATGAAATATGTATTATACATAGATCCTACTAATCTACATTTATACATTAATACTATACATACATACATTAATATATACATACACTAATTTCCAAGGATATATCAGACTCCATAGAGACTGGTTATTAGTTAAACAGTGGTTATATTGACTTTTAGCTCAATTAAAACATTGAGTGAAACAACTATATTATTGTATTAAATAGAGCTTTTCTTTAATTGTCCTGAGGTGTCCAAAATAGTGTGAAAATCAAACTACAAGAGAATCGAATCGAATTTAAATATAAGTACTAAGCATAGAATGCATAGAAATGAATATTTTCAACCAGCCAGCCTCACATCGTTCTTTACAAAATTTCTTCTTAACTTTTTTATTTTTTCTGAGCTAGATAGTGCTTACTGATTTTTGAACGATACCTACAGAAAGTGTCAAATTGAAGATATGTCAAATTGACTCTCCAAAGAATCCATAAATGTCATTAAGCCCGTATTAAATTATCCACAAAACAAGTAATAGAATAGAAATCATGCTTGTTTTGTAACTACGGAACTAATCAAATCTCATAGTAAGTAAAAATGTATGTATTGTAATTTTTCTACCAGTGTAACTTAAATGATGGATAATTTCCAACAAAGTCCATTAAAAGTGTACATTCAAGACATATTTCGCGCCAAAACAACAGAAAACAAATACATCTACGAGTTATTTGGAATGACATTCAAAAATGTCATGATACACGGGGTAATAACCGCGATTTATAATACATCAAGCACTACAACGAATGTGGAACTTTCCGACGCAACAGGATCAGTTCAAATTTATTATGATGGCACTAAGAGTAATACGAATGCGTCACCCGCCATTTTGAAAGATTTATACTATAGGTTTTCGGAAGCAACGAGGACAGGCAATGACAACGTTAACATTATGTCTACTTTGTTGGACCGTATTGCGAAAAACCCAATAAATTTTTCAGAAGGGGATTATTTGAGCGTCGTTGGAGATGTTTTTACTGATGATAAAAATGTAAGAATGATATCTGCTTATGAATGTGTAAAAACATCTGCGGCAAGAGATATCGTGTGGATGGAAGAACTTAGATATTTATACGAAAAGTTTTACCTTTGGATTAAGTGAATTAATTGTTACAAAATAAAGTGACTTTCGTTCAGTTCAACTCTCATTTTAATTTCTATCATTAGCGTTGAATTTTATCTACATTCACATTAGTGTTGGTTAACTTAAAAATCCTTAAATATTGTAAAAAAAATAGTATTGTGAAAAACAAAACTAAACAAAAATTTTAATAGAATTCTTAATAGAAGTATTTAGCAGTAGTATTAAAGTAGAATTTTCATAGTTTGTTTGCGGTCTCTACTTCATAGGTGTTGTAATTTTAAATTCATGACATTTTATAAACGATATGAAAACCCAAGTCTCATATCATTCAAAATACTCTGTGGTGACAAATCTGACCTGACTAGAAAAAGTTGAGTGATGAGCCTGCATTTGCCATAGGTAGTAAAGTATGATCATTTTACTATAAAAATTAACAGGGTAGGAATATATGGCAGCATGTTAGCATGTTTAGATCGAAATAAGTAAAAAATATTTTTACTAAAATCCTACCCACCTATAAACTGGTATCACTATGTTACATACTAAATTAATTGTACGTTACTGAGTACTGAGTAGCATACGTTACTGAGTACTAAAAATAAAATGTGTTACTCAGATTTTATTCATACTAATTCATTATTTTAATCGATTTCATCTGTGCGAATATTTGACTTAAACTGATGTTAAACCTGTATGGGTTGTTAGTGACAGTGGTTTTAAACTTGCAACACCTTTGAATTGTTGTAGGTATCAGCTATAGAGGTATAAGCATGGAGTGGGGTACAGCTACCTGTAAGTGGCAGCGATGCCCTTTGTCTCTGTTTAGCTTAACTGCGATTGGCTATCATGAAGTGGCCATGGTTTCGATAGTAGAAAAGGCGGAAGATTATAATTTCTTCAAAAAAATTTTGTGTAAATAATTCAAATACAAGGTGTACAAAATACATGGCTCAAAAACTTGAGGTAAACATTTAAAAGCCGTGTAAATGTTTATATGCACAAGTAGCAAAGTTAGTGTTAGAAGGAATTCTGATAAACAGAAGTGTGAACTGAATAACCTCAACTGGTAAATAAACATTAGGTAAACAATATTTTTTAACAATGAAACAGCATCTTTTAAAAACAGCAGTTCCGCAAAATAAAAATAAACCAACTCAGTGTATTTACCGTTCCTTCATATTCCCCAGTCAAACGCAGACCTCAGCTAGAAAGAGATAGAGGGAACTATCTATTATCCACGACTCTCGTTGCCTTTATTGCAAGATTTTGGCTCTTGTTCACTCTATGCTTATTTCTCTATGGTATTCCGCAGTACGAATACGAAAGTACGTAACTGCTAGAGATGGACATTTAAAATATACATCGATGTTTTTTTCGATGTAATGCATCGATCGGTCACATCGATGGTAATACGATGTATTGAGAAATACATCGATGTTTCTTAAACATCGATTATTTTCGCCATGACGTGTTTTAGGTTAGGTTAGGCCTTAATTAAAAAGAGCCTAAAGAGAGGAAAAAAATTTTGAGATGGAGCCCGCACCAGGAGCGGGCCGGCGCTAGGAGGGGTCCGGATGTCTTAATAACAGCTGTTCCCGGATCCCTCCTATTACAGGCGCAGAGTGGCATACCGTGTGGTTTTAGTCGGTTCGAGTCCGACACACCACCCCACCGCAAACCCCGGTGGGGTGACGGGCCGAGGGGATTTCCACACGTAAAAAAAAAAAAAAAAAAAATTTAAAAAAAAAAAAAATTAAAAAAAAAAATATATATTAATAAAAGCAGGAAATATATTTATTCAAATTCAAAATCACACAACCAACACATTTTTCTTTACATATTCCAGTATTTTTTGTCAATGGTATGTAAAAACAAAAGTTTACTTAATCTCTTCCCCTTCAGTCGGTTCCTTCGTTCAATTCAGCGAGTATTTATTTAAAGCGAATTCATAATCTAGTATTTTCACATAATAAAAATCAAGTTTAATTTAATTTTCCCGCGAACAAACGAATAATACGAGTCGAACGACCTCAACGTTCCAACGGGCGAATTAAAAGAACCCCGTTCAATAAACTATAGCTATTTGGCGGCTATACAACACTATACTCATTCATAATTTGCTTGGTCGATGCATCGAATAAAAAACATCGATATATATTCGATGTTGAAGTATTAACAATACATCGGTTTAATACGATGCATCGTTACTATACATCGAGTGTTTTAAATAAATCGATGTATATCGTCCATCTCTAGTAACTGCAGAGTTGTTGAACTGAAACGTCAAAGCTGTTTTTAATAAACTTTTTAGCATATTAACTTAAATTAAGGTACAAAGGCTTTTTTTTCTATTAGCCTAATAATTGTTTTTAACGTTTAGGTCATATTTTGCACTGAAGTTAAACATTGATTTATTCCTTACAGTAAATTCGGTGTTTATAGGTTAGATTTATTTTTTATTTTTCTATGCAGAACAATGTCGCACGAAGGTATTTCTCCTCAAGAGATCGAGGCCCTGTGCCAGACACCAGACCCTTCAACTAGAGTAAGATTATTATTCTATGGTTTATTTTTACTTTGGTCCGATGCATTGATATTGACTTGTAAATACATATTATTCTATGCAACATTCGTGTATCTGTATCTTCAGAACGCCTTTGCCTGCATAAAACCTAACTTGTCTTTAGTTTATTATATCACGTAATAGTTGTGATTCGCTATATTAATTTATAATATCTGTGAGTTGCCTGTAAAAGTTTACTGTATAGTCAGAAATATTTGAATAATCTTTCCCCCGCCAAATAAAATGCATGTTCACCCCAAATAGGACTGATTTTAAGTCTGAAATTGAAACTTCCTCAGTGGAGGTTTCAGATTGTCAGGTTTCAGAGTCCAGTTCAACCCATAAAAGACAGGTCTGTGCTTTCACCCTATCACCATTTGTTGTATCACCTCGATTTTTGAGAGCACCTCCCTAACTATGCGAAGTTCAGTTTCGGGGTCACTAAAGGTCGACGAGCAAACTCCTCTAACATAAAAAAAATAGGAATGGGAGGAGTGCAGTAAGACAATGAAATGTGTGCAACAGACAAACTATTGCCTCACAATTCTTAAAGAAAATCACCTTTTCTATTACTCTACCTATATCATAATACATAATGAAAATTCTTCTTCATATCCATTTTTAAACAAATATGGCACATAAAAGCATACAGCCATATAAATGGTAGAAGTGCACACGGTCAAAATCAAACTCAAAATAATATCTTTATTAAAAAAATTATAAATAAATTGAAATTGTCTTAGACTCAAGTCATAGATCAACACACCCAAGAGAAACAATCTGTTTTGTCAAATGTTTAGTAAAATGAAATTAATTTATTAAATGCCTGTGCCGATCTACTACAGCCCATTTCCAAGGAGTTGAGCCTTATGAGAAGAAAGGGCAAATAAACTCATGGTCACTCTTTCTTAATTAAAGCAGTATACAGTAGCATCATTACATATAGCACAACATTGTTTTGTTATGTTCACCAGTATGTCAGTTATTAAGGACTACAATGTAAAAGCAACAAAGAGAAAAGAAGATAAAGAAAAAAAGATGTAATAGAACTAAGAGTGAAGTAAAACAAAGAGGAAGAAAAATAAATAAAAAATACACCAGCACAAATTACATTTCCAGTTAAGAAAGAATTTGTGCTAAATTAATCTCAAGCATTCATGTCCGCTATGTAATCCACAATCGAGTAATAGGCCTTCTAACAGCCTATGCTTTAAATTTGTTTATACTCTTAAGTCTTGTATTTTACTTAAGATTTTATTATAAAATCGGTCAAAAGTCAAAACGGTTACATAAAACTAGTGAGTTACAGTACAAAAGTCGATACAATGATAGTTCGAGTTATACTGGTCCATGAACTAAAACGGGACATTCTAAATGATTGCAATAGCTGCATTTACATATTAAGTAATATCATCTACTTATTAAAAAAAAAACTATATCAATAAAGCAACAAGATGATACAAATAAAAATCTCCTCAGAAATAAAAATTCCTAGCACTTAAAAATATAACCTTTAACATAGATAAATTGTTAAATGTTACGCAACTGATAACATGTATTATATCATTAAACTAAAAAATTATTAAGTTTAATAACAATGACTAATGATTCTGTGATATTAGTTTTATTACAAATAATAATATTTATCTTGTCTGTTATAGTGTTTCTCAATACATATAAAACTACTTGGTCGACTGACTGACTAATTAATTAACGCAGAGCTTAAGCCTCTCGGGGTACAAACTTGAAAACTTGACAAACCCGGGGTTTGTGGCCGGTAATCCGTGTGGTGACGGATTAAGAATACGGAATGTCACCAGTCCTGCTCATCCCACGGGTGTCATAAAAGCTGACTTAAGGAGCAAACTACGCAGGACAACGGCACTGCAAAGAGAAGGAAAACTTGAAACCAACCCATACCAACCCGTCTGGCCAGTGTGGTATAGTAGGCCAAAACCTCCTTTCTAAGGAGAGACTTATGTCTAGCAGTGGACCATTATAGGCTTTTGATGATGATGTGGGGTTTGCGGCGCGGCGGTGTGTTAGAATAGAATCGACTAAAACCACTCGGTATGCCACTCTGCATTTGCAATAAGAGGTAACTGGGAATAGCTGTCATTAAGACATCCGTAATAACGGAACCTACAAATCTTAAACCCACATTGCTAGCATTAGCTGTCCCTTTCCAATTTAAGTTGATGAAAAAATAATATGACTTGTATAAAACACAAATATTAACGTATATTTCTACTCTTATTTTAACAAAGTAACAATAAGTATATAATATGTTTGATAAGGCAACACTGGTCTAAATATAGATTGATAGCAGCCTCAAATGTTGATGAATTCCATCTTACCAAGTATATTTATAGTTCGTTTTCACCTATAATGGCATTCTAACACGGGATTAAAATTAAGTTTTAGCGTGTAGCAGCACCATTTAACAATCCATTTTCATTTATATAGATATTTAAGAATAGAAAAGTATGTTTATAGGCAGTCTGGTAACCATAGCAAAGGCTCAGCGAATTTGAGATCAGATATGGGATAGGGCGATGGGAGTGATAACATGGCCTCACAGAAAACTGGTTAACCAATTCTTTCGTGGCTTTCCACCAAGTAAGTTGGGTTACCGGAGTCCAAAACCCTTCTGACCACTGACTTGAGGATGACGGACTCAAAGGCCGGCATCGCACTTGAGTTGTAGGTGTCCATGGGCGTCGGCGGTTACTTACCATCAGGTGACCCCTCTGCTTGTTTGCTCTCCCATACCATAAAAAAATAGAGGACACCACTATGGAGGCTCTGCCTAATTTGGGATCAGATGGTGGTGTGTTACATCTGTCAAGTTGTTACTACTCTAGAAATTACAAAACTATTCAAATTTTACTTACAGGAACACATCCAGTTTCTCTCTTCCATTTTTAATGTTTTATAATACCAAATGGTCAATGTAATTAGTTTTTTTAAACTTTTCCAGGACTTCATGTTTCAACAAACAATGTACCGCATCAAGGATCCTCGCAAATCAATTCCCTTCTATACCGGAGTCTTAGGAATGACATTACTGAAACAGCTTCACTTCCCCGAAATGAAGTTTTCATTGTTTTTCATGGGCTACGAAAACCCTGGCGAGATCCCATCAGATGAAGCTACTAGAACAGCCTGGGCGATGACAAGAAAAGCTACTTTGGAATTGACATAGTAAGTAGTATCTTAAGATTTTCATAAAAAGAACATGTGATACAAATCTTATTATAGTACTTCAGCGCCAGCTAGCGAATATCAGCGGAACTATGTAATAAATAATTAATAAAAATATTTATTTATTTGACCAATAAATGTTACAGTATTACATTTCATTAATGATATTAAATACAACCAAGAGGTAGATACGCCACCAAGACACAAAACGCGTGCTGTGAATTGGTCCTAATTAGGACCACTGCAAGCGAGCGCGCGTATTAATTGATTCGAGAGAATTCATAAAATGCCTTCCTGTGTATTCCGGAAGTGCACAATTATGACAAAATAATTTTAATAGAAAAGAATACCTATGACATAAGTAAACCCAGAAGAACTACACCTTCTAATTCCCACAGATTTATTGATAAAATACTGCATTCAGCCAAGAGATGTCGCAAGTATCGGCTAGTGTGAAATAAAACCATTGCTTTTGTCAATTTCAGTAACTGGGGCACAGAGAGCGACGACTCGAGTTACCACAACGGGAACTCAGACCCTCGGGGATTTGGGCACATCGGTATACTCGTCCGCAATGTGGATGAGGCCTGCGCTAGGTATGAACCTATAAAGACAATGAATGGTGTAGCAACAAACATTTTATAGACTGCCTCGATGGTGCAGTGGTAGCGTATGGGACTGCTATCCTGAAGTCTCGGGTTCGATTCCCGGGTCGGACTAATTGTTTGTGTGATCTGCAAATATTTGTTTTGCTGTTTTCTATGTAGAATATGTATGTATTTACGAAAACAAGTATATAAGTATTCTATCAGTCAGTTCCAAACTAAGCAAAGCTTGTACTATGGCTACTAGACAACTGATATAAATACATTTATACTTTTTTTTTGTAAATACATACATATTATACATAGAAACACCCAGACCAAATCAAACATTTAATGTTCATGCACACAAATGTTTGACTTGAGCGGGAATCGAACCCGCGATCTTTGGAATAGCAGTCCGTTGCACAAACCACTATACCATCCGGTCGTCAATATGTTTATATTATATATAGTTATATTATCAATGTATTTCAACACAAACTCAACTCTCGTGTAAACGGGGCCATATATGTAGACACTTATATACAGAGGTGTCGGTAACGGTAACAGTGTCGCGACTTCAATGTTTTTCCCATCTCAAAAAATACATTCTTTTATTTGTTGTTCAAAAATGCCCAACGCGCCTAAACTTTTCACTTAAAAAAAATGATAAATTATCTCTTTCTTTTTCAGATTCGAACAGCAAGGTGTTAAATTCATTAAGCGTCCGAACGACGGCAAAATGAAGGGTTTGGCTTTCATCCAAGACCCGGACGGCTACTGGATTGAAATCTTCACCAGCAATGTGGTGTAAAGCCAGACAGAGAGGTCGTGGTATGACTTACAGTATATAAAGTGTTGTCGGGTACAGCTACAAGTGGATGATCAGAAAGGCAATTCTCGTAATGAAAGTTCGATCAAAATTCACTTCCAATCTACTCTCGATTTCACAAATGTCATAAATATACTATGGGGATACTATGGCGGTATACTATGGGGATCTTGTGTCAACTAGGGTGAATTTCCGTGCGTTTAGGCGATTCTGCCATACATATTATAGAAATCAAACATAGCTCACGTAGGACCCGTAATATTTCGTGGCCGTGGTGCTTCCCTGTTTAAAAGGGTGTATGCCCATTTTACTTCATTTTGTCTCCCGCTTTGCTAAGGAGGGAAGTGGATTTACTGTATTTCCAACTCCTCCAATTTTCTTCTGATTAATTTCGTTGCGGGTTCCAAGACAGTTTAATTTCTTCCTGGGACTTCCCGAGTGTCATAACTCGGTGTGTTCGTGGGTCACTGCTGTGGATCCTGGTGTACAGGAGTTACAGTGGTGGGCGTGTGGGTGGGATTAGTCCCAAAAAAAAAAAATGTCATAAAAGATATTCTCGTAGTAAAGTATTACTAAGACTAGCAGAATACCGATTCAACTTTCGATCATAACACGATATAATCACATTACAGTCAACGTTGGATATTAAATACTTAATTGACTCGCCTGTTGTCTAGTGGTTAGTGACGCTGACTGCTACGCCAGAGATGGTAGATACTATTCCCACCCAGGACAAAAAAAAACTGATGTCATTTGTTCTGTGTCTGGGTGTACTTTACTTATAATATGTATGTATTTAAAAATATATAAGTATGTTTATCAGCAGTCTGGTTACCATAGTACAGGCTCTGCCTAGTGGCCGTGTGTAAAATTACAAAAAAAAAATCATTTTCTTACATTTCTGACATTGAGAGTAAGTAGATCGGAACTGAATTTTGAACAAATTTTCTATTACGACACCTTTAGGTTGCTGGATATAATAACGCTTCAAAGAAAGAAGTATTGTTTTGTAATGTGATCAACCATACAACACCATCTACCGAGAGTAGACGGAACTACTTCAAAATATAGTTTTCCTATTTACAATAGAATAAGTATATTTTTCTTTCAATTAAAATGTGCTTTACAACAAAAAATTGTTTGAAAACATACTTTAGCACCATCTAACGAAGACACACCGAACTACGTAGTAACTGCTAATCCTGTGTCGCGATATGAGAAGTTCTCACGACAATAAACATAAATATAACTTCCCAACGTCAACTGTTGGATCGCAGTCCGCCAGGTATGATCACTTCGCCTGGTCAAAGGATCCTTCCTCAGCGTTTGAGGGACATAGGTAATACCTGTTCCTTCATACCTCCATAAATATTGTTGCCTTGTTTGAGATAGATATTGGTTTCATAAATGAATTTTGCATATATTTATACACTTTATATACCGTAGGTTTTTAAAATGTTAAGAAAAAATTAATAGTACAGTCAGCAATAAAATTCGCTTAAGACATCTGTGTTTGCAAACATACATTTTTCGAACAGCTGATTTATTTAGTTAAGTTGTAAGATTATGTATCCTTAATATCGGTGCGATGTTCCTCATACAATACAAGGCTGTATGCTACAGGATAATTTTATTTTAAGTGTGTTAATCGAACTTTGTTGCTGACTGTACATTAAGGGTTGTCATATACGCCTTGTATACATCGGCCCAACATTTCGAAATTGGCCACTTCGAAGCAATATCGCACGCAAAAATATAGACAATATCATTGTATGCAAATCCCACTGCTGGGCAAATATATAAAAATACCTCTTTGATAGGTAATGAGAAGTCCACAGCTGGGCAAAGATGTATAAATATGTGATTGATAATTATAAGAATATTTTTTGTATTTGTTTGTTAAATTTTGTATTTGGTTAAATTTTGTATCTAATCTGTGACTATCAAGTAAATATATAAATGTTATATTAATAATTTGGTTTTCTTTTCTTATTTAATTATATTTTTTCTGAAAGATATTGCCCAAGTAGACTGGCAAAATGTTTGATAGACCTGTTGGTCTAATGGTTAGTGAGGACTTCTAAGGAGGTCATGGGTTCGATACCCATCCAGGTTAAATTATTCTGTGATGAACACAATCATTTGTTCTGTGTCTGGGTGTCATTTATCTATAATATTTATGTATTTAGAAATTATAAGTATGTTTATCAGCAGTCTGGTTACCTTATTACAGGCTCTGCCTAGTTTGGGGTGCGGGTCGGGTAACCTCCACGTGCGTCGCCATGTTTTTTGTCCCTCCTGATCACTGCGTCCGGGGGGAACAAAAGCAGGGGACCGGTGCACCCTGGGCGACGGTCAATAACTTCCCTTTCGGGGGTGGGTATTGGCCGCCGGCAAATAACTCGGCAGGGGGGGGGTAAATCGCTCTCGGTACTCCTCTGTTCATCAGAGGAGACTGGACGAGCGAAGGGGTTGTGGGCAAAGGCCGAGGTGGGATCCGTATGGAATCCAGAGGCGTGTCGGCCCACTGCTTACGCAGGGGCTGACAAGCACTAGTGCTGCCGCCGGTGAGGGAGGGCTAGCCACCCTCTCGCATTTCGTAACCAATGGGGGCTCAACAACGACCCAACTGGTGGCTCCAGGAGGGTACGCTGAGAACCTGTTGGCCGGAGGGCTTGCCTTAATTGGCCGACCCAGGACAAGGACAGTCTATAACACCCGACAGAAAAGTCGTTAAAACCTGTGGAAACCGGCCGATCTCCACAGTATACAGGCTTATCCGGGCGCAGGGGGCACCGCCCGGATGGACGGCATTTCCCCCATACTCGTGGGATTAATTATGGAAGTAAACAAACAAGTACATCAACCAACAGTAACAGACGAAACTAACAACGACATTGGCTTAATGGATACCGGACAACGGATTGCAAGAGAGAAGAAGCGCTTGCCTAAGGCGACAGAAAGTAAGGAACGGCGGTTGCGGTCGCGATCGTTAAGAACAACTTTCTCCAGACCCTCCACTCCACTTTCGCTAGATGGAGGTGAGCGAGGCGGAGAGAGCGATAGCTCAGCCTCTATAGGGTCGGAGAGGGAAACACGGGGGCAGTCGCGGAAGCGCGGGCGACACGATGATGAGGACGGAACTGGAAATGCGAAGCGGGCACACAGTGTCAGTGACTCAAACCAACCGAGTTCAGCAGAGGTTGGCGCCAAAATGCTGCTATGTCTGGCTAATGTCAAGGAGACATTGGACAGACCACGCTGCACGAAGGCGGAGGTAATGAGCTCCATTCGTCGGGCCCTGCAGACTCTGCGGGACGGCGTGAAGGAGCTCTGCACCAGGGCGGTGTCACGTGAGCACGAGGAGGCGTCCGTACAGAACCAGGCGTCATCATCGTCGCTGGCGGACAGGGTGAGCGATCTCCAACAGTTAATGAAAAGTCTAAAAAGAGTTTCTGTGCATTGACAAGGATATCAACTGCGACATGGGGTCTATCATTTAATACATTAAAGATCATATACGGAGCTACTTATTTAGGTTCTATGTGCTATGGTGCACCTGTATGGGCCGATAGGGCGACCGTAGGCGCTGTCCGTCGCAAACTGTTACAAGGCCAACGACTTGCACTGATATTCTTGTGTAAGGCATATAGGACGGTTAGCACTGAGGCTTTGCCGGTGTTGGCGGGTGTGCTTCCGGTCGATCTCGAGGTGCAGAGACGTGCAGCCATGTACTATTCAAGACAACAAAACAAGGAATGCGATTTTTTGGGCGCGCGGGATCGCGGTAAAATTACAAGATTGCTTCAACAGCAGCCCGATGTCTATAACGACCTCATAGACGAATGGCAACAACGCTGGGATGAATCATCCAAGGGGCGCCATCTTTACCAATTCTTTCCATCTGTTCGCGAACGGTTGTGGAGGATATGGCTTGAGGTGGATCACTGTGTCGCTCAATTTCTTACGGGTCATGGTAACTTTAAGAGCAAGCTTTATTCATTTAAATTAGTCGAGTCACCATTGTGTCAATGCTCAACACCTAACTCTCACTATGAACAGTCTGCTCATCATATCCTCTGGGAATGTAGTCTTTGGTATAATGAACGTAATATAATGCTGAATAGCTTGCAGGTGACATCTGGGGCGGTATACTATGGGGATCTTGTGTCAACTAGGGTGAATTTCCGTGCGTTTAGGCGATTCTGCCATACATATTATAGAAATCAAACATAGCTCACGTAGGACCCGTAATATTTGTGGCCGTGGTGCTTCCCTGTTTAAAAGGGTGTATGCCCATTTTACTTCATTTTGTCTCCCGCTTTGCTAAGGAGGGAAGTGGATTTACTGTATTTCCAACACCTCCAATTTTCTTCTGATTAATTTCGTTGCGGGTTCCAAGACAGTTTAATTTCTTCCTGGGACTTCCCGAGTGTCATAACTCGGTGTGTTCGTGGGTCACTGCTGTGGATCCTGGTGTACAGGAGTTACAGTGGTGGGCGTGTGGGTGGGATTAGTCCCAAAAAAAAAAAAAAGACCCGGACAAAGTCAATGGCGCCATCTTCGGCGGTGCTGCGGAGCTCGCCGGCTCTAAGGGTGGCGGAAACGATCCCGCTGCCTCCGTCGACGGTGGAACTAGGGCCGAAAATTAGCCCGCTGGGACCACTGACCCATCCGGTAAGGGAGGACCACCTGGACTGGGAACAAATCGAGGCAATTATGAACCGCGAGTTTGCCCGATTCCAGTCCGGGCTTTTAGATAGGTTCTTCCCAGAGAGAGGTGCTAGACCCTCTCTAGGCCAGGGACGGACTCCAGTAGCGCGGCAGCAAGCTGCTGCAGCCACTGCACCCTCTTCTTCTTCCGAGAAGAAGAAGAAGAAGAGGAAAAAGAAGAAAAAGAAAACGAAAGGGCCGGCGGGGCAGCTACTGACCCCGGTAACAAGACAGGCTTCTTGTCTGGGAAGGCCTACCCTGCCGGAACC